ACAGTTACCGGTCATTAGTAATTTACTTTGTTACAATACTGTATATATATATATATCTGTGTCAGTAGTAATTACTTGCACCTAGATAGATACGAACTAAACCTTGTTGAAACGTTGTACATTTGCTGTTATGTTAAACTTGTAATTAAAGTTTTCTTCATTACCCATTCAAGCCGTCTACCAACCTATTATAGAGAGGGATACTGGGGAGAGGAATGGGAGGAGGGTCTGAATGTCAAACAGACCAAGGCTGGACTGATCAAAGAGGTGTCAACAGCAAGTCCCAAGAAGGAAAGAAGTGTGTAAAGTCAAGGGCCAGATGGAGGAGACAAATAGTGGAATAGGTATATAAAAAAAAGAAGTGAGACCAGGCCTGGCTGAGAAAATCAACAGCCAGAGCTAAAGAAGTAGGAACAGATGACCATAAGAGAGGAGGAGAATTGAGAAGGATGACTAATGCATCCAAGAGAGGCATGTTCAACCAGAAGTAAACCGTACAAAGGACGTGGGGGTGTATAGACCCACCACTTCATTGATAGAATGTGGACTGGCTGATAGCGGTAGTTTGCCACTAACATTTAAGCTCCTGGCAAATGACAGGCAAGAAGAACAACGTAATGTGAATGGGCCCAGAAGTGTATGTCTAATGCCTGACAGCAAGTGGTTCTGGAACAGATGTTTCATGAACAGTTGGTGCAAGAAACAACCATGGAACATGACCATGTGATCCACCAGTAAGGGCAGAAATGGGAATATGCCCAACAAATAGTGAGAAGGTCAAGCACATTGATGTGGTGTGAAGTGAACACTTGTACATTGTCCAAATTTCAGAAGTCCTGCTCTCATCAAGAAATGTGCCTCAATCAGAGAGGCAAGCAACAAAGAAAGGTGAGATAAGGCTTGAGAGGTGGTAAGTGAATGCAGGAAATAGTATGGACACAGTCCAGTTACCATTATATTTCCGTGAGAAGAGGCTCACAAAAGACGACATTGGACTCTATGAAAAATTTGGGTGCACAAGATCCACTATAGAAAACGTGAGTGCATGCCCAACAAGGAATGAGGGATTCCAGGAAAGTCAGAGTCTCCAAAGTTGTAAGAACCTCTTGTGTAGAAAGAGAAGTGTAAAACCTAGTGACCAGATATGGCATATCTCACAGGTGAAGAAGAGAAGGTTGAACTTGGTTGAGACAAGATGAAAATTTCCAAAAGTATCAAAGTTTGAGTGGATGTGAGAAATACACTCCCCCACATCCCAATTGAGTAACCACTGTAAAAGAAAGTAGGTGAGAAAAAACATCCAAGAATGGGTGAACAGAAGTAATGAGTAAAAAAAAAAAAGGAACAACAGCCCCAAGCCGTAAATATGCCAAACAAAGCCCTTCTCGATACCAGTGAATACAAAAGGGGTCAATGCAAAGTCAAAGGGAAGAGCAAAAAATGGGGAGACAGGGAAAAGAGGAATGGAACATAGAAAACAAATGAAGGATGAGCCGAGAGTGATACACAGGATGGTGTCTGTCACATCGACCATGGTCAACCACAGATAAAAGATGGGGTCAAAAGGAGGTGAAGAGGAAATGGGAAGAGAATAGGACAGATGAAAAGGGCCAAGGAAAGGAAATTAAAAATGACTGTTGGCAGAAAATGAGATGAACATCAGGAGAAGAGATGGGAACCCACAGAATCATAAGTGTGTGAAAATCCCTGACAAGAGTGACAAACTAGACTTCTAGTAGAGGAGAGATGAGAAAAAGAATAAGGCGTAGAATCCAGAATGGGAAGGTTAGAAGTAGACTGACAAGGAATAGAAATAAAAAACACTAGGGAGAAAGGAACCCCACCAAACACATCCAGGAAAATAAAAGGTGTCAGGCAAATAACAAGTACACAAGAAGAAGAAATAAGTACAGTGAAGAGGAACATGACCCAAACTAACGAATCCCAACAGCAGGGGAACAAAGAACAGAGGGATAGAGCAGAAAAAGTGGAACAGACCAAACAGATAAGGGAACAAATGTCTACAAAAGCTTTGCTGTGTCATGAAAAAGTGTTTCAGATAAAATGAAGAATTAGGAGAGGGAATACAGAAGGGTAAAGAGAAAAAGAGGAAATATGAAAATGGGGAATCAGAAATTGAACTAGAATGTAAGAAGCCTAATCACCAAGTTGGACAAACAATTACTAATGATAGGGAATTTAGAAAGAGAAAGGAAGAAAGCCTACAATTTTGGACAAAAGGAGTCAACAATGTGAGGGGTAAAAGGCATTTGGGCATGAGAAAGGAAACTGTACAAATCTCAATAACAAATAAGAATAAAAGATATGGCAAACCTTAAGAATTGTGGATCAGGGAATAAGAAAAAACAAATAATAAAGAACACATAAGATAAGGAAAGGAACATATCTGAGAATGAAATCCAGAAAGAGATTGAAAGATTAAGATTAATTCACAAAAGGTAAGGTACTACACAAAGCAAATCAGGCAAAAGGTAAAAAATCCAAGAGATCATTCTCAACTGAGGAGAAAGAAATATGGTTGATGGGACAGGAGTAGGAGGCCCATTAAGTATGTGGTAATTCACAACACATTGAATAATGGCTGAAATGTTAGGGTAACAGTTAACAAGCCTCCAGAAACCATAGTATAAATAAGGTCTAAGTGTGAACAATGCCAATCACTTAGGAATAAATATAAATCACTGTCATTTGAGAACTCATGAAACTGTGTCATCATGCAACAGCACAATTCACATTAAATCATATGAAATTAGGTGGAAGTTGCCTCAAGGCTAGTGGCTTGTAAATCTCTCTGGCAGATGCAAGAGGAAGATAGCTAAATTGTGTGCGAAGGTGAGTTATTGTCTAAGAAGCATTTTTTTCAACATCCCTCTTAATTTATCCATTATCGTTTGAAATCAGATGTTTGCAAAAAAAAAACAAACATCTGAAACAACTTGTTTTTACAATACACTAATGAAATACTTGAGTAAAAAGAAAAAAGGTAAAAAAATGTATATATATAAAAAATAATGAAGAACAAGCTGGAAATCACATACCAGGTTTTTAATTAAATATTCCAAAATTTCTTTTGTAAGAAGGGACACACTACTAGGCCCTAAAAAGAGAAAAAATAAAAATATACAAATGGAAAGGCTAAAAATTAATTACTTTTAACTAATTTGTTTAATTACATGTGTTAAACAATATTTTAACTTACATAAACACAGGAAAGCATCTGTAAAGCACTGTAACCTCAAAACATAAAATTTTTAAACTGCACACATTGAATATTAATTTTTGTATCAGAGATACAACATTGTTAAATTTACCAGCTAGTTTTTCTGCAATACAACCCAAAACCACACAAATATTTCGATGCCTTCTCGGCTCATTCTTCCCTTCACTGGCTGCCTCTTCAGATAAGTTGAACATCTCTGACAAACTAATAATGGACTCCTGAAAAACAAGAACCATGATACATAAAAAAAAAAGTGGTATTTTTGTAACTGACAACAAGAAGTATCAGAATTAAAATTATATTACTTTATGGCTTACAACACACAGATAAATTATTTATAATGGAGTTTAACAATGCCCAACATTTTCACCTTTTGTTCACTTCTGCATTAGTACATACAGTTGTTACTCTCTGTGTTTATAAAATGGTATTACTTGATTACATTCCTTTATTGTATTCTGCCCTGTCATTTCCTATAGTGTCTTTCAAATTCTCCCTTACATATTTTCTTTTTTCCCTTATATGTATTTCAAAGTATCCCATATAAGAGAAGAAAAAATATATGTAAGGGAGATTTCAGAGCACAAGATGAGCCACATGACACAGACAAGTGAAGATAAAAATGTATTTAAATGTTTCCTTTTGAAATTAAGAAATTAAAATTTAGATGATATAGAAATTGTGTTATAAACTATGTTTTGATGGCAAGCTTTTTGAAATATGTTGATAATAGAGTCCTTAATTTTGAAACAATAAATTTCAGGGAAAGCAGCTAGTCAACAGCAATCCCCAAATGTCTGACCAAATGGTGAGATTTGACTGTCACTCTTATAACACACACACACACACTGCCAAAAAAAGTGCAGAATGCAATTTTTTTTCAACAATGGGATGTGTATGATTGATTCATAAATCCACAATCCAGCATGCTTATAATCATGTGAGAACACTTATATGCACCAAATGATGATCATGATCTGTACAAAGAAGCAGATTATTAATAATAAATTCATATAATTTAAAAAGTATTGAGGTTTATGTTAATTTACTATTTCAACAATGAACAAAATTTTATCTAATATTTTTCCTTTCATGAACCACTGACCACTGGTACTAAGCGGGATAAGTTAGGATAATTTTTCTTTCAAGGAAAGCATCAGTAATTAGTAATATTACAATGAATAGCCAGTGTACCTCTGGATCTAGCAAAGTTATCATTAGAATTTAAATTGTTAATGTTGTTCCTGTTTTCAGTTAACTAGGAATGTGGAACTTACTTACAGCTTGCAAGAGACATTCAATATTTTTAGAAATGGATTACAGTTCTGTAATTAAGACCAACCTTTTCTCCCATTAACAAAACTTGAATGAACCTTGCTTGCTCATAACTTTCAATACCATTTACCTTAGCAATTTCTACTTGTGACCAATCAAATGACAAATGATTTTAAGATAGCAGAATTTATCATCTGATAACTGCACATAAATATATTGGAAATAAAACAATTTAGCAGTGCATTTGGCAATTTAGAATTTTTCTGTGTGTTGGATATACATGCCTGTTCAGTTTAAGAGCTATTACTTAGTTTATTTAGTGATTTAATATTTAATGATTATTTAGTTTTCATAACAAGAATGTTAAAAGTTAATTTTTAAATGCCATAGTTATGACAAGTTCGGTTACGTCACTCTGTACGAGTCGTACGTTGTGTATGCAGTTTAATTGTTGTACTAGGCTTTTGTAATATTGTTAACATCATCTTACTCGAAGCTTCAAAGTTTTTCTTGTTATGCGTAATATTGTTGTCACTAGTGGGCTAGATATTTTTGGATACAGTACACCACCGATTTTCTGGCAACTTTTCCGGCACCTCCTTTAATTCGGACAAAATTAAGAAAGCACACTTGAAATTCCCACGACTGCCAGAATAGTTCACTAGGCAGCCATAGATGGCATTTCATGTGGCGCATGCTCTTTTTCGGGACATGATACTTACATTTTAAGTAGGTATGTCACTCTTGTGAAAATTTTCTTATAAATATCAAACTAGAAGATCAAATTGTTTGAATTTTTTCATGAATGTTGCCAAGAATATGTAGTTTAATATATTAGTAGTAATCCTGATGGCCCTCAACTTCCAGACCTTTGTGATTAGCTCTACATTCCAGTATAATACTAACATTTGCCACTTTGGAAGTGGTACTACTGCAACATTCTTTGTAAGTACAGTAATTAATAAACTTTTTCATTTATACTGTACTAATAAACTTATATCATTTATACCTGTACTAATATGTTTCATTAATCATTTAATTCACATTTAATATTTGTTTTATTTAAGTTTCTAGCAGTCAATGGTGCTTTAGAGACAAGGGAGGGGTATAATTAGTGGGTCAGAGGTGTATTGTTGAATTATTATTATTATTACGTGACCTCTGTTGGTCCAACAAAAAGGAGAATCCGGCAAGGCTCTGGAACCAAGGGTGCCGAAAAATTGGTGGTGTACCTATATTTATAAGTATGTGCAGAAACAGAGTATAAAAAAGTTAAAGTAAATTAGTGAAAGTGAAGTTAGAATGCATTATCTAAAGTGAGTTTCACAGTGGTATTGTAACAGTAGAGATAAAGAATAATAATTTGTCTTTTCAAAGGATATTCTAAAGTAATTGAACCCACCTGTGTGGATTGAGGAAAAGGAGACAATTATCTAAAGCTCTGGATACAACTGTGATAATCAATAGAGTAACAAATTTTTTTACATACATTTGACTTGTTTTGAATATACTATTTTAAAACAAGTGGACTATGTGCTGTCTGTTTATTGTTGACATCTATCACCAACAAGTCACAGACATCTACTATAAAAAATCTGGCCCAATAACAGTGACACTGTAAAAAATAATTTTTAAAAATATCTTGTTCTTCCACTGAATGCTACTTGGTTATACAGCTTTTTGAAAGGATCTCTAAACTAAACCTTTTTTAAGACCTTGTGATAAATAGTACCTTACCTTGGTAGGTAATGGACAATCATCCAACAGCAAGATAATAACTGCAGGACCTAGAGGATCATCCATAGGAATTACATTGACCATTGAATGGACAACAGCAAGCCAGCCAATCTCTTTGTCTGCTATGTAGCGTAATTTCATCATTGATGGAGGTGGCTCCTGATCACTGCAATATTGATATAAACAATGTTCACTAACATATATCAAAAATTCAAATAATAAGTTTGCCTAAATGTATCAAATTCTATCTTTTTCATTACAAAACATTTTTTTCCATTTTGATACACAGAACAAGTGCCTGCTTGGCAAACTTCAAGTACAATACAATGTAAACAGCTATCCCTATTTGCAGCTGAATCCAAAGTAATAATATTTTTAATTTTATTATACAATTTACTATTTCTTTTTTATTTTCTATTAAATAAGTGACTTAACATCTTACTTTGCTGTGTTATGAATTAAACCATTATCTTCTGCAACCTAAATAATTCAGAAAGTAAAATGCACCTTTTTTTAAAGTAAAAAATTAAATTTTTTAAATTAAATTTACATTACAAACAACTGTTAGTATATTTACAACTCCTTGCATAGGGTCAGAGGTAAGTCAAAAGGTTTATAATTCGAAAAATTGTTCTTCAATACCTGTTGTGGCAACAGCACCTACAGACCATTATGTAGTTATATGCTTGACAACTAACAAATCAAATAAATGGCTTGGTGTTTCATTCACTCAACTCTCAATCTGTGGGTCACAAGAATGAAACCTGTCACCAAACATGCTCATCCTTTCAGCTATGGGGCATTATAATGTGATGGATAATCCCACTGCTCATTGGTATAGAATAGCTTAAGTGTAAACAGTGGATGGTGTTGACTAGCTGTCTTTCCTCTAGTTTATTATTTTAAAATTAGTGATGGTTAGTGCAGGTAACCCTGGAGTAGCTTTGCACAAAATTTGTTGAAAAACAACATTGATCCTATGTGGCTTAGTTATTTTCATACTACAGCAGCCTCTTTTCATCAGTTTTTGTAAAAGCATAACTTTAGAGGAAAACAAAAATCCATAAATTACCAAAAATCATAAACTTCAGTAAAATAACAAACAAAAGACTTTGAGAGAGACTAATATATATATATATAAATAAATAATAATGAATAAACAGGAAATAAAAAAAATAATATTTACTTTTTAATAAGATATAATGTAGAAAGTATGTAACGGGCTCTAATATTAATGCACTGTTAAGTGAATATGTTTCCTCCACACATTACAACATGTGATCATAAATGTAAATGCCCTGGAAAGTTATTTCTGGAATAGGCTGTACATTAAAATAATGTGAAATACTTTTCTTTTTGTTCATTCAGTAATCATTACAACATACACAGAAGACATCTAGAGCTTTGTTCAAATCTTTCAACTGTGAATACTCTTAAATTGGTGCACAAATCCAGCCTTCACATGTAAAGAGTAATATTGATTTAAGTAATGACCTCTATATTTTGCATATTTCTATGCTATACCTAGAGCACAATTAATTGTAATTTATTTCATTCTGTACATTACTTTTTATAATACTACTTGTCAAATTTTATTTTAAATAAGAAAAATCCTGACATTTTCTTGCCAGAAAAACAAAAGCTATCAAAGAGTAATTATTTAAAAAATATTTTTGGTATCACCTTATATCCTAGGATTGGTTTAGTAAATCACAACTCTCATTTAAGAACTCCTACATATTATGTTATTATTATGCTTAACATTTTCCACATGATATGCTGTATTGGCCTGATTATAGGGTGATCTTGAATATAAAGAGA